ACCTGTTGTACCTTGCCATTGCGATGGCGATTTTATATAGGGCATAGAATAGAAGCCAGGATCCTTTTTGAGAACAATCTTATTCAAATTTTTATGTAACGGTTATAAGAACAATTTTATTATAATAACTATAATATATAATAAATATAAATATACCGTTATATAAAAATTTGAATAAGATTGTTCTCAAAAAGGATCCTGACTTCTATTCTCTACCATACATAAAATCGCTATCAGGATGGCAAGATATAACAAGTTCCATTTTCTTTTCCATTTGAGCTAGGAACAACTTTTAATGCTACAATTATATAAATTTCAAGCTTTCAAAGCCATAAGACTCGAGGCTTTAACGCTCGGCTCTCGGGATTCTCGGCTAACAGTGAAAAGAAATGAACAAAAATGTACGCGTTATTCATTTCCTAAGAAGTTCAGCCACGAATCCAAACACGTGGGAGTTCAAGTCGTCGATTGGCCTAGCCTGGGCCAGGAGCGACGGAGAGCGGAGTGAACTGCGCGCGAAATGTCAGCGAGCCCTCGGCAGCGGCGATCGCCGGCAAGAGGAATGTTTTCGAGCCGCTTTTGTCTAGCTCCCTGGACCGGTTCGAGGGAGTAATAGCAGCCCCGCGACAGCAATCAACCGCGCGATCAACCGCGCGGAGCGCGAAGATTTGTGTCCGAGCNAATGCAAGTTTCAGATTCCATAAATTGTTACAAAAATATCATTCGTTGGCTAGAGGAGGGATCTTGTGAAGGGGAAAACCAAAAAAGAGCTTCTCGTACTTAATAAATTTGCAAATTAATGTTAAGGACACTGTGACAAAGTTTGAAGGTAGAAGACAATATTTTAGTAGGTAAGAGAATGTTCTTGGCAACTATGTTCGAAGTTTACTCAAGAACTTTAGCCTACAGAGAGTATGGTCAGATATCCAACTTGGTAAAGGAGCTCTTCAGAAAATAGTGCAATGCCTTGAAGACATAGAAACATTAATTTCATCCTTATAATTATCCTCTTATACTCGAAGATGTATCTACTTTAAATGCAAAAAAGTTTCTCTGATCTACAATATTTCCATTTTATATGATTTAGTGCATTTTGTGCATACGAAATTGTGTCTTTATGGCTCGTACAATTTTTGCACAATGTTTACAATATTGAGCTTGTAAACAAATATAAACTTTTAAAATATAAACGAAATTGTGAAGCGAGAAGTAACAGAATTTAATAACAAGAATTTGAAACGAGATGTAATAATTTTTTAATTTTAAAGGGTTAAACCGTATATTACCCTACAATTCTCCGTTTTCACAAACAATTAATTAAGAAAGAATATACCTAGCTGAATTGTAACAGAATTCTCTAGCAACAATTGTAACAGAAAAGTGCAATTAATTTCTCTCCCCTCGATTGAAAAACATTTATGTTTTACGTTTATATTTAAAGCCGCAGATTAACTGATTTCCGTAGATCATAGGGCACACAGTAACTGGCTCCAGAACTATGTCTCTTCCTCTCAATATTCAAAGAAGAAGAATTGATATTTGTTTCATGGGAAAATTTCTGTCGACAAAATAAACCATGAAATTCACCATTAAGTCCTTAAAAAAATGCCATTTAAATATCTAAAATCATGTTCAGTGGTAAAATCTCTCGAAAGCTGTTAACAGTAATTAACAATAATTGTCTCCGTTATCCCAGCGTGATCCGAGTTCGCAGAAATCGCATCCGAACAGAAGCGAAACCCTTCGCAGCCAACAAACAATGCAGCGTTCCCCGTTGTCGCGGTTCGACGGTGGCTCTCGTTAAGTCCGGAGATCCCGCGATAGGGATCTCCTAATTACGCGGGGGCCATGAAAGTGTCGGCGCAATAAGACAGCCGCGCTGCGGAGGGGACGGAGCGCGTTCCGCGATCGCAAATTAACGAGACGACGGAGCGGTTGCGGCCGCAGGAGAGAGCGCGCCGATTTGTCGGACGGTCGTCCGGGCACACGATGATCCCAGGAAGAGGGGGCGGAAGAAGGGTCTCCCTGTAAACTTTCGCTTAATTAAGCCCGCGGATTTAATTCCGGGTCCGGGGCGAATTTTCCGCGAATCGTCATTAATCGGGTACGACGCGGTACGCGGCCCGGCGCCGCGCCGCGCCGCGCTGCGAGCGTTATGCAAATCGACGCCGGTCTTATAACTCAACGGTGCCACGCGGGATTAAAGCCGGGCGTTCCCATGCAAATGTCTCGCGGCCGTGCGACGGTCCCCGTCGAAGGAACGCGCCCGGCGACGAAGACGACGACGACGCCTGCCGACGCCGTCCGTCCGACGCGGCGGGGACGTCCGCGTCGGGGGGGCATTGGTACTCGTTCAGCCGGCGGAACACCGACAGGGCCCATTCCGTGGAAATTCGTCGGCTGGTTAGCGAACCGGCGCCGGGCGATGCACGCGCGGAAATAATGCCCGGCTGTTCCGGAGCGCGCGCGCTATTTACGTCCGTTCGGCGACTTGTAACCGGCTGCATCGCAATTTGTAAAGTCACCGGGGGTAGGGAGACGCCGGATTGGTTTATGGTCGCCGCTGGAGGGAGGCTGTTGCGCACGCCGGGTAAGAAAATGTATGCAGATTGGGGCTGTGTTTAGATTTTGACGAGCCCTAGCCGCCACGATTGAAGGAGTTGTCGGAGGAGTGTCCCCGCGGGATTGCAGACCTCGGATATTTACGGACGCCCGCTCCATTGCCGCGCGCGGTGCGGTGGTGGTGCGCTGTCTTCCCGCCACGAAATGTGGACACTGCCGGCTCCGTTCCCCTGGAATTTGCGATGCCGAGTTATCGTCGCCGCTCTGATCGAGTTACGGCTGTACGAGCTACATACATACGTAGCTCCGTACCACCGACAGATCGCCGCGATAATATAAACTCCTCGTTTGTCGGATTCTGGGCAAACCGATGTCGTTTTTAGGCTCCGGTCTGCCGTTTGGATTTTACCGGAGCCTGTGTCCTTTGTAAGCCGGACGAACTGTCCAGTTTTATATTTGCGGCTGCGAAGGAGGACTTGCTTTATTCATTTACTTCATTGATGCAATTGTATGTTAATTTATTGTAACGCAAACATTGTTGAAGATTCTGAGTGTTCGAAGCTGATTTTCGCGAAGCCTCTACTAAGAAAAGTCTGTTCTTTATCTTTGATTTGTTTTTTTCTTTTTTTTATGTAGAATCACCCTTTCCTCGGTTGTAGTACCGATGCTGGAACACCCTGCATTTTTGGGCCGATTTTATTTTTAATTGTCGTGATTATTATAAGCTAATTTTCTTGGGAAGTAATTTTTAATTTTCTTCATTCTTTCTAAATGTGAAATCCCATTGTAAAAGACTAATGCAGCTCTGCGACTCGTTTCAAAATAATTATTAAGTATTCCTTTGGAAAAAGTCTGCCTTGAAAGGACTGTAAACCCTTTAGCGGTAGAGGTGATCCTTTAATCCTGGGGTGGTTGCGGTGTATTTCAGAGATATGCCGTGGTCGTTTAAAATCTCTGCTGCAGCGCTCTTGGTCCTCCAAAGAAGGATCCATCTTGCACGCGCAAAAAAATATTCAACTTCGCTGAAGTAAGATTTTTGTGTAAATACAGATTTTCACAAATTCGTTTATAGAGAAATTTGTAGAAAAATAATAATTCATTCTGTTAGAATACTTATCACCGGACTGCAGATTTTTATGCAGACTTGCAAGTCGTTTACTCAACTATGTGTAATAAAAGATAAAGAATGATGTACCTATTCTTTTCAAAAAAGAATTCTTTTACTTTATTCTTCTCGCATTTTTCTCGCAAATGCGCAAAATTCGCAGTTCATTCCTCACATTTTCTATGCCAAATTTAAGAGCTTAAAATCTTTGATAAAATATATTGCAGTTTAATCCTTATAGTAATAGTATAGAATTATAGCATTATAATTATATATGTATAGTGTTATATTATAATATTCTATTATAGTAATATAATTCTATATGTATGGTATTATATTATATATTCTATTATAGTAATATAATTCTATGTATATTATATTATAGTATTAGCAGTTTAATTTAGCAATTTAATCCTTATAGTAATAGTATAGAATTATAGCATTATAATTATATATGTATAGTGTTATATTATAATATTCTATTATAGTAATATAATTCTATATGTATGGTATTATATTATATATTCTATTATAGTAATATAATTCTATGTATATTATATTATAGTATTAGCAGTTTAATTTAGCAATTTAATCCTTATAGTAATAGTATAGAATTGTAGTATTATAATTCTATGTATATTATATTATAGTATTAGCAGTTTAATCCTTATAGTAATAATATAGAATTATGATATATTTAGAATGTATAGTGTTATATTATATATTCTATTATATTATTATAATTCTATACATACAGTATTATAATATAATATTATAATTATTATTTTAATATAGATAATAATAATAATTATTATATTATATATATAATTAATATAATATATATAATAATATTATATATATAATTAATTACTATATTAATATAGAAATAGTAATTATAATATAA